TCAAAGCTACAGTTAAACGTAACCCGGCATTGCAAGGAACAGTCATGGCTGTAGAGCAGAGTAGCGACTTGGGAGATAAAGAACAGAGTGTGTCAAGTAGGGACAAAAAGCTCAACAAAGGAAATAGTTCATTAACGAGTAGGAGAAATAGTAAGAGGTCAAAATTAAAGGTGCTATATCTGAATGCACGAAGCATTCGTAACAAGATAGACAAATTATTCGCCCCCTCCTTAGCCTCCTTCAAGTCCCACCTCAAGATCCTCCTCTTCAACCATGCCATCGGCCATCCCGCTTCCCCTCCGCTCCCTTACTCCCCCAAACCCAGCTCGAGTCTGAAATGCTGTACTCTGTCCAGCGCCTTGAGACGTCCTCCTGAAGTGAAAGGCGCTATACAAATGTAATCTTGTTGTTCTTGTTGAGTGCACAAATATACATAAATGGGTACGATTCAGTGGCTATTACTGAGACGTTATTACAGGGAGACCAAGGGTGGGAGCTAAACATTCCGGGGTATTCGACATGTCGGAAAAATAGGCAATGTGGAAAATGAGGTTGGAGGGGTAGCCCTGCTAATAAAGGATGAGATAAAAACAGTAGAGTGGAAGGATTTTAAATCAGAAAATCAGGATGGAGAGTCAGTATGGGTGGAGGTAAGAAACAACAAGGGGCAGAAAACACCAATGGGAGTAGGTTATAAACCCCCAAACAGCAGTTACAGTATTGGGCAAGGTATTAATCAGGAAATTAGAGGAGCATGTAGCAAGAGGAATACACTAATAGTGGATGATTTCAATCTTCATATATAAATAAAGCCAACTTTGCAGGTATGAGAGAAGATTTGGCTAAAATAGACTGGGAAATCAGATTTAAAAATATCATGGTAGACCATCAATGGCAAACGTTTAAAGATATAGTACATAATTCCCAGCGATCACATATTCCCTTGAAAAATAAAAATACCATAGGTAAAGTGGTTCAACCTTGGCTAACTAGAGAAGTTAGAAAAAGTATAACATTAAAAGAAGAGGCCTATAATACTGCCTAAAATAGCAGTAAACCTGAGGATTGAGAGGACTTTAGAGATCAGCAAAGGAAAACCAAGACACTGATTAAGAGGGAGAAAATGGAATATGAGGGTAAACTAGCTAGGAACATAAAGACAGATTGTAAGTTTTTACAAGTACATAAAGAAGAAGAGACTATCAAAAGTGAATGTGGGTCCATTGCAGGCAGAGAAAGGAGAAATTATAATAGGAAATAAAGAAATAGCAGAATCATTAAATAATTATTTTGCTTCTGTCTTCACGTAAGAGGACAATGAAAACTTACCGAAAATAGAGGGGAACTGGAAGCTAATGTTGGTGAGGAACTTAAAGGAATGAACATCAGCAATTGTACTAGAGTACTAGAGAAATTGATAGGATTAAAACCGATAAATCCCCTGGACCTGATGGCCTGCATCTTAGAGTTTTAAAAGAGGTGGCTGCAGAGATAGTGGATGCTTTGTTTTTGATCTTCCAAAATTCCCTGGATTCTGGAATGGTTCCCAGTGATTGGAAGATCGCAAAATATATTTAAGAAGGGTGAGAAAAAAAAATGTGGAGCTATAGACCAGTTAGTCTGACATCGGTGGTAGAGAAAATTCTGGAGTCCTTAATTAGGGATGTCGTCGGGAATTATTTAGAAAATCATAACATGTTTAGGCAGAGTCAACATGGCTTTATGAAAAGGAAATCATGTTTAACAAAATTTTAGAGTTCTTTGAGGATGTAGGTTAGTTAGGGGGGAACCAGCAGATGTGGTGTATTAGATTTCCGGAAGGCATTCGACAAGGTGCCACATAAAAGGCTGCTGCATAAGATTAAGCCGATGGAATTAAAGGCAATATATTAGCATGGATTGGAGAGTGGCTAACAGGAAGAAAACAGAGAGTAGAGATAAACGGGTCCTTCTCAGATTGGCAGGATGTGACTAGTGGAGTGCCAGAAGGATCAGTGCTTGGACCTCAATTATTTATAGTATATATCAATGATTTAGATGAGAAAATAGAACTTAATGTATTTAAATTCGTGAACAATATAAAGATAGGTGGGAGAGTAAGCTGTGAGGATGACACACAAAGGATGCAATGGGAAATAGACAGGCTAGGTGAATGGGCAAGAAGTGGCAGATAGTGTATAACGTGGGGAAGCGTGAAGTTATTCACCTAGGTAGTAAAAATAGAAAAGCGGATTATTTTCTAGAGGGGGAGAGACTGGGTAGTGTTAGTATTCAGAGGGATTTGGGTGTCCTTGTACACCAGTCACAAAAGGTTAGTATGCAGGTACAGCAAGTAACTAAGAAGGCTAATGCCGTGTTGGCATTTGTTGCAAAAGGGTTAGAGTACAAGAGTAGGGGAGTCTTGCTGCAGTTGCATAAGGCCTTGGTGAGACCGCAACTAGAATATTGTGTGCAGTTTTGGTCTCTTTATTTAAGAAAGGACATATTCGCCTTAGAGAAGGTTCAGCGTAGATTCACTAGGTTGGTTCCTGGGATGAGAGGGTTGACCTATGAGGATAGGTTGAATAAACTAGGCCTATATTCTCTAGAATGTAGAAGAATTAGAGGTGATCTTATAGAAACCTATAAGATTCCCCTGGTTGAAGAATCTAAAACTCGGGGTCATAGTCTCAAGATTAAGGGTCAGCCTTTCAAAATGAGTTGAGGAAACATTTCTTCACTCAGAGGGTAGTGAATTTGTGGAATTGTCTACCCCAGAAGCCTATGGATGCTCAGTTATTGAACATATTCAAGACTGAGGTTGATAGATTTCTAAAGGATAGAGGGATTAGAGGATATGGGGATAGGGCGGGTTAATGGAATTAGGTTAGAAGATCAGCCATGATCTAATTAAATGGAGGGGCAGGCTCGAGGGGCCGAATGGCCTACTCCTGCTCCCACGTCTTATGGTTTTTATGGTCTTATGATTGCTGGAGGTTTAATTACACCACCAATTCCGATGTCTCAGGCGTACATTGAGTCTGTCATATAAAATTAAATACATTTAGCCAATGCACCTGTTTAAAGAGTGTGGAGATATAAAAATTTTATATAGACTGTCAGTTCCAATATGCAAGACTAACTCTGCAACCACATTGAACAGGAAAAAAAACCTTGATGAGAACCGCAAGTTGCATTACTCTGTATAGTGGTAATTGTGAATTAAAGCTATTCATGTGACCCATTCCCGGTATCACTGCAAAAACAGGTTATACATAAATTTGCCTGATGTTTCACAATGCCTGTGATTTCAAGATGAAAACCAAGGAATATAGTGGAGAACAGTGGTTCGGATCTATAAAATCACAACACATGCTATAACAAGACACAGTAGCCAGTTTCGCTGCATGTATGGGCAGCTGGCTAACCCATTCCTTGCAAGGTGACCGTTTTCACTCTCACGCAAATGGACAAAATTTCAGGTCATAAGTTTACTGCTGGCATCCCTTCCTGTTCGCTGCATGTGTACAGAGCGTAGAAAGAGGTGTTATTGACCTCATGACCAAGAAATCAGCCATTTTGGCATGAAAGTGTGGCGACTGGCTGTGTGGATAGGTCCATACTATAACCACATTAAACTGTATATACAATATAAAGAGACACATTATAATAGGACTGTAATTGTACTTCAATCACTTTAAACTGTTCAGTTTCATTTTTAGAAAACATTCACAAACTACATGAACCATCTATGGTGTAAGCAAATGTTGCTGAAATGAAAATGCAACAACAACTTGCAATCATAGAGCACCCTTCACATGGGTAGTGCTTCAGAGAGCTTGAAAATATGTTACAGATCAAATGCAATTTTCTCCTCCAAAATATTTGCATCTGAAGTGCCAATGGTTGTTTCTGATTTAAATATGCGGATAAGCTAAAAAATGTAATCCTGTCTAATGTATCAACCACAGTTGTCATTCGTTCTTTCTCTCAAGGACTCTAAGATGCTTCTCTGCATGAGGGGTGCTATATAAATGCAAGTTGTTGTTGAGCATTTTTCTTTAAGTCTCTCTGATATTCTATCACTATGATTTTTCTGTCCCTATGTTGATGTGTATCTCTTTCTCTGACTTTATACCTACGCAATCCAAAGGCATTTCAGCCTTCAGCTGAAGCGTAGTTCACTTTCAGCCACTATGTCCTGAAACTCTGGAATATCTTCCTCTATCCCTCCACCTTGTCCCTTCCTCCCCCTTCTTCAGATCACGCCTGAAGACCTTCCTATTTGACTGTGCCTACAGTCAACTCTCCCTCCCCCCAGTTCAGCGCTGTCCTCTACCATTGTCAAGCACTCTGGGATGCTACCCTGCATGAGGGGCACTTTTTAAATGCAAGCTGTTGTTGCATAAAGAATATATAGTATTTTAGTATGTGAACTGTTAACATTGAAAGATGCAATTATGTGGAGTCCTGTAGCTCAGTGGTTAGAGCACTCGCTTTGCAAGCGAGAGACCTGAGTTCAATCCCAGGCAGGTCAGGGCGAAACCTTGGGCAAGTTTCCTTACTCCACACGCCTAATAATAATCCCTCCAAAATCAAAAAAAACAATAATAAATTGGTCATTTTCAATCTACGACTGTTTGTGGGACATTGCTGTGTGCAATTGGCTGCCGCGTTCGCCCACAAATGTACAGTCAATTCACTTTACAGTGTGTTCTGTGAAGCGCTTTGCGACATCCTCCCGACGTGAAAAGCGCTATATCAAATGCAAGGATTATTATTATTGTGCAACCAGCCCATTGTGTTGCAAAAATTCTAATGAAGCTCTTTCTCACACAGAAACTGTACTCACATAGCAAGAAACCAAAGCAAATTATACTCTTAAATAGGGTCTAAGTCGGGTTGAATCTGGAGAAATATGCTGCATTTCATAGTTGTGGTTGATTATTCAATTTTACAAAATTTTACAAATTTCACTCTCATGAAAATATTACGAAGTAGATAGGTAAAACATTACTTACCTAGTCCTAAAGTTTGCAGGATGAGGCTGCCCATCATACAATGACAAATAATCATACTCTTCCTCTAAAGCAAATGACTGGAATACAATCTGTATTCTGTTTGGTTCTTCTGCTACAATGATCCATGTACAGTTCGCACCATTTGGATATCCGTAGGGGAAACCAGGACTTTCTATGGTGCCATTTAGTCCTTGTAATGTTCCTCCACAGGTATAAATAAACCCTGCAATGAAAACAAAGAGAAAAAAATATATATCCATAATGTATAACAGATCTTAATTTATAATATTGAAAGTTAAACGTCCATCATAAGAGCAAACCATTCTTATGTTTTAAAATGCCAGTGATAAATATTCCCTGTAATGGGCAAATAGATGCAGATAACTACAAGTTCCAATTTCAAATTAGCTCATGTTCATATACGCAAATGAAGGTTAAATCATCATAAGATCATAAATGGGATATTGTTCAAGCACCCCATTTGCATATTATTTGATATGCATCTTGAATATCATAAAGACATGTCTGTGTAACATATTCCATATACAATCATTGCAGGGTTTCTTTTTACTAAAAACACAATTAAGCTGTTTACTCTTAGTGCGGTAACACAGCATCATTGCCGCCAGCACTCCATTGCAGTGCTAGGGCATGTTGCATTATTGGAGGTAGGGCACTTCGGATGAGATGTTAAATTGAAGATTTTAAACCTGTTAAGGTGGATGTTAAAGATCCCAGGCACTACTCAAAAATAGAAGGGAGTTTCTCCCAGACTCCTGACAAACAATCCCCCAGATCAAAATTGATCATTTCATTTCATGGCTGTTTGTAAAACATAGTTGTGTGCAAATTTGTCTCCAAAATATACACTCACTACACTTCACAATAAAATCCTGTGAAGCACTATGAGATGTTCTCCTGATGTGAAAGATGTTCCATCAATGATTATAATCAATGAAAACGATTATAGAATCAGGAGGATTACTTTATTATAAGCACTTAGAAATCCTTAGCACAACGTGCAAAGTATAAGTCTATTATCAAGTTTGAACTAAACACTGATTGTCAAAAGGCTGTTTGGCTAGGCAAAATATCACAACCCAATTCTGTCTTCACTGGTATCCACACACATGCTAAACGTTGATGAGTAGAGGATCCCTGGCTAATTATTCTTCTCCTTCATCTGAGAACCTGTGGCACATTGTATCATTCCCACTACCATCCTGAACTTTATTGTTCATTATCACATCACAGTGCGGTTACTCTCCTGAGTCAGGAAATGACAAATCATACTTATTAAGGGAGTAATAAATCACTGACAATGCATAATTGAAACCTTCACCAGCATTCCTCTGAATCATACCCAAATCATATTATTATCAACATTTTTAATGATACTCTAGCTCTATGAACAACAGAGCAGCATGAAAGGAATGACACTATGATGAGCAGCAGCAGATTTATAGATTTAATTTTAAACTGCTGAGATTTTCATTTGAAGTTCTTTCAAAAATGCAGATAAGTTGGATTTGATTCCCAATGTTCCCTTGACAAACAGTGTTTTAAGGGATTTGTGATAACCCTGTTCTTTTCTTCCTTCCAGAAAGGTTACATTGGCTGTGTGGGTAAACTTTTAGTAATACTTGTTGCTGAATTGTGTTTAATTAATGTTGATTCTTGGATGGTTATCTTTCAAATTACTTCACATTAAACAATATTGTTATATTGCTTATTTGCTTTGATATGAAGGTATAATAATAATAATATAATAATAATAATAATAATAATAATAATAATAATAATCCTTGCATTTGGTATTGTGCCTTTCATGCCGGGAGGACTTTTCAAAGCGCTTCACAGGATTTACTGTGATGTTGAGTGACTGTGTATTTGTGGGTGAATGATCCCATAGCATTATTTGGAAATAGAAGAACATTTCTCCTGGTTTCCCAGTCCACCAGATAAAATTAGTCATTCACTTCATGGCTGTTTGTGAGACTGCCATATTCACTACAAAATTCACAGTCTCAAAATTTTACAGTAAAATCCCGCGTAGCACTTTGAGACAACAACAATTTGCATTTATATCGCAACCCTCATGCTGAATGGAGTCTTGGAGTGCTTAACAGTAGCAGAGTCTGGCCAGGGGGAGGGGGAACATGACCGTAGGCACAGTCAAAGAGGAAGAAAAAGGGAGAGAATTCCACAGCTTTGGGGCGGAGTGGCTGAAAGCATGGCGCTGATGGTAGGGCAGGGGCTCCAGGGCACAAGGAGGAGGCCACAGCCAGTCGAGCGGAGACACTGGGCAATAGTGTAGGGAGAGAGCAGGTTGCAGAGATAGTGGGATGGTGCCAGGGCGTGAAGGGATTTAAATACAAGAGTGAGGATCTTGAAATCGATCTGCTCTGTGACAGGGAGCCAATAGAGTTTGACAAGGATCGGGATAATGGAGGTACAGAGTTTAGTGCGGATGAAAACATGGGCGACGGAGTTTTCATTTAGTTGAATCTTGTGAATAGTGAACCAGAGGAGATCAGTAAGGAGGGTATTTGTGTATTCGACATGATATCAACATGAAAGGTGCAATACCAAATGCAAGCCTTATTAATAATTACATGAACTGACCCTTTCTGTTCCCTGCAGTTATGATCTTTATAGATTACAGTGTCAAAATGGATACATGGAAAATAAAACAAACTTAGTACTGTAGCTAATTACTTCTTTATTTAACTGCAGCTCTATTTGTCGCTGCCAATCACTTTTACACCATTTTATCAAGAAACTCACAACATGGAGTTTATTTTGCACTTGTACTGAAAGCTAGAGAAAAGGATATCATTAGAGAGAAAGTAATCTATTGATTTAAATGGTTCCAAATTGTTTTTTTTAAGAAAACTGTAGTTTACTAATGCATCCTCCCCACTGGAGGACCAGAACTGACCACTGTATCTGTTGTTTAAATTTATAGACTGAAGCATCCTCGATATCATTCACCGACAATACACTTTACAGAAAATCCTGTGAAGCATTGGAGTTGTTTTGACATCTTGATAAGAGGCTATATCAAATGAAAAGATTATTAATAATATTAATAATACTTACATTTAACATAGCACCTTATCATGTCTTCGAGACATCTCAAAGTCCTTCACAGAATATATTGTAAAATGAATTGACTATATTTTGTGGGTGAAACATGGTAGCCAATTACTCACAGCAGTGTCCCACAAACAGTCATGGATTGAAGTGATCGACTCATTTTTTTGAACAAGTTATTATCCCCGGAAAAGCGATCTGCCAAATGACTAACAACCAGGTTCCTACTTACTGCTAGGTAAGCAGAGGCGTGTGGAGTAAGGAGACATGCCCAACATTTTGCCCTGCTGGGAATCAAACCCAGGTCTCTCACTTGCGAAGAGAGTGCTTTAACCACTGAGCTGCAGGACTCCACAATTATTAATAATAAAATTATTAATAATAAAAATGGGGTGCAAACAATTCCTGTTACCTACCATCCATCTAGTGAGGGCTCAACACATGCATTTGGATGTCAAATGACCAACTAGTAATTATGCCCCTTGTGGGGAGGTAAATGGGCTCCCCTTGGAGCTGAACTGGTTCCAAGGTGAGATGGTTAGCCACAGAATGTCAGTATCAAGCCAACTGCATGTGGTGGTCTCGGTAGACCATTTCTGAGCCAGGCATGACCACAAAACTCCAGAGCATTGCTGTTGAAAAGCCAGCCATCCCGGCTCATCAGCAGAACAACAACAACAACAAAATTACAATTTATAGAGCGCCTTTCACATCGGGAGGACGTCCCAAAGCGCTGAACAGTCAGGTGTCGGGGCTCGAGCATGGGGGAGGGGTGGTGTAGGGGTGAAGGAAGGCAGAGAGGTGGGAAGGAGACCAAAGGCATGGTCGAAGAGAAGGATCTTGAGACCGCCTTGATGAAGGCAAGGGAGGAAGCGAAGCGAAGGAACCGTGGGATGGAGTTCCAGAGTGTGGGGGCAGAGAGGGTGAAAGCCCGGCCACTGATCGGAGGGCAGGTCGGGCAGGAGACTTGGAAAAGCAGACCAATCAATGGGTGCACTCTTCTCACTCAGCTCCTGTTAACCTTGCAAACCAAAGATTTAATATGTAGGGTAGTCCTAACTGGACAAGCAACAGGAAAACCTAACAGATAGTGAATGGACTCTAGCAAATAAATCCAAACTCACATTCTGCGGTGCTTAAGTCATGGCTCTTGCCAACTTGTGCCTAATACTCCAGAATTAATTAAGTAGGATGCATCCTCCAAGGAAAGAGTGTGCATTCCCTTCCAATAAATATCCCTGGAATTTTCATGTTTGGGAAGGATGTATGGAGCAAGGTGATAGGTTTCCGCATGCATCAGATACCCAGCTGACTCCCAAAACATTATTCACAAAATGATGTTGCCTCCCATTATGCATGATATATTCACTCTGATGAAGTCTGTTAGCCACAAGAGAGTGAGCAAACAAGATCACACGATTTTTTTTTTCTCTGGTTGTTGCCCTCAGCCAGAACCTCTCCGTGCCAATATTCCTCTTAGCGATCTGCCAGTAGGTGCAGAAGATGGACTTGATTACGAGTTCCCATCTGTTCATATTCCTCCCTCTGCCCCCATGGGAAAATGATTGGCCTCCGTTCAGCATTCTCCACTAAGGTTCAGTAGAATTTAGCATCTTCCACTTTGCAAGCATTGCACAGTTGGTGCTCTGACACACTGAAGCACTGCAATGCCACTCTTGGGCAGAATTCTACATCTGTTCTGATGTGAAGAAGTCAACTAGGCTAGGCGCTAAAGTTAACACAATTTTTTTTTAAACTCATTGTACGTGAAAGATTTGCTGATTTACGCAGATTGTGTGCCAACAAATGTAACACTGACTGAATAAAGCAAAAAAAAACAAAGATCTCAATAGAAGTAGTGAAAAATGTTAATGCAGTATTTTTACTGATGTCAGGCTTATTTACTAAAGTAATCTTTTTTCAATACAAAAGCGACATAATCCATCAATCTTGTTCCAATGTGCATTGTTTCCGTTTCTGGTTCCAGAACAATTGCAAAGAAAAAATGCTTTCATTTTCATTCTAAAGACTTCTCATACATCTCATGTGACTACATAGATGCCTTCTGATCACTTCCAAATTCATCAAAAATGATTTACATAGATTTTCATGGATCATAACTGCACA